GATTTTCTTGGTTACTCTTTTTTTTATACTGTTGGCTCATCTCCTTTTCTTATTAAATTGCAGGAATTCTTTCTGTATCCTGGACGTGAGACGTGCATCGGTTTCTGAATTAACGTCCGTCAGCTCCAAACCACCCTTTGCCACCAGCCTGCAGGTGCTCGGATGGCTTTGCCTGCAGCTGTGTGGGGCTCTGCCAGCAGGTGCTGCTGGAAGGCCACAAGCCTGCCTGCTCCCTGCCCCGGCCGTGCCCCCACCAGGCTTCTGCACCCGCCAGGCTTCAGCAGCGGTGTCCCTGGCGCCTGCGAGTCCAGTCGGCAGCTGCCAACCCCGGCAGGGCCAGGGTCCCGTGACTGGCCTCAGGGCAGCACCTCTGGGCCCTCCTCGGAGGTCTGGGTCCGGTCTGGGTCCAGGAGGCCCTGCCCTCCAGCCTAGAGAAGCAGCACGCACCCAGCAGGGCCCCCTCCTCAGAGCGCCAAGGGGTCATCTCTACGCTGCCTCCATGGAGCTCAGGGGTCTAGGCTTCCAGGGCTGACGGTTCGGCTGGATGGTTAAGGAATGGAGAGAAACTTGCCGGGAGCTTGATGACAAGGAGGTCTGGGGAAGAAGCAGTGAACGGTGTCCTGGACAGGACGCAGACTGTGAAGACATCGGCATCCCCGGTGGATGTCGCCACGGCCCATCCCCTGCAGAGCAGGCTCTCGATAATCAGATGGACGTGGGACCCGTTCTGTAAATGTTTTGGCCTCTTGCTCGATGGCTCACGTGTACAGCGATCATGGATGGAGGGACAGAGGCACGGCTCAGACCACTCCACTGACCTCCACCGCCGGAGTTGATCTGCCTACTGCCACTGTGGGGGGCGGGGGGGCCTCGCTGCCAAAAGCCAAGGCCAGTGCTGGGCCCTCATTATGGCACCCTTACATGGGGGCCCACCAGCCAAGTGGTGGCACGCTTACGACACTGGACTGGTCTGTCATGGAGGAGACAGGAGTTCCATCCGTCTCGCCGGAAGAGACACGGATTCTGGACGAGCACTGGCTTCCCCCGCCCCTCATGGAGTCGGGCAGTGCCTTGTTGACCATCATGGTTTCCCGCACAACAGCGCTCCTGAGTGAGGAGCTCATTCCTGAACAAAAGAAGCCAAATAGTGGGCTCGTGCTCATGGAATTCACTGGTCTTCCCTAGGCTCCATCACCCAGAAGTGCCCACCTAACAGCGAGTGGGGTGGCCCACCGAGGACATGGTTAGAGCGCCACTGGGGAGCAACACCATGGAAGTTTGAGGTCCTCGCTCACAGATTCAAGTGAGTGTGTGCTTCGAACGAGTGACAGATGCGGGGTGCTGTCTCCCCCACGGCCAGACTGCTGGTGTCCAGGACCCAAAGGGCACGAGGGGCAATGGCTCCCCTGATTTCTATTAACACTTCACAGCGCTCTCTCTCTCTCTCTCTCTCTTTTTTTTTTTTAAGATTTTACTTATTTATTTATTTGAGAGGGGATGGCAGGGAGGAGCAGAGGGAGAGGAACAAGCAGACTCTGTGCTGAGTGCAGAGCCCGACGTGAGGCTCCAACCCACGACCCTGAGATCATGACCTGAGCCGAAATCAAGAGCCAGAGGCTTAACCGACTGAGCCTCCCAGGCTCTCCTCAGAGCCCTCTTAATCCCACGCCCGCCTCTGAGCTCTGAAGGCTCAGAAGTCTTGGCTCTCTAGGGAGGAATATGTCTACCAGGGAGCCTAGAATGGCTCCTTTGACTTGGAAGATGAGAGGCCCACCTGGAAATTTGGGGTTCCTCATACCGCCGCATCGAAACACTAAGAAGTAGGTAGGGGTTTTAAGTCACCTCTACACCCAACATGAGGCTTGAACTTCCGACCCTGAGATCAAGAGTCGCTCGCTCTTCCCACTGAGCCAGCCAGGTGCCCCAACACTAAGAAGTAGGTTACCTTGCTGGCTGGGGTGATGGATCCCTCATACCAAGGAGAAAGTGAGTCGTTGCCTCACACTGAGAGCAGGAAGAAGTAAGGCCCGAACGGGGGGGATGGTCTGAGGTGTGTTTTAGCATTTCTGCCACCCAAAGTAAAAGTTAATAGAAAGCTACCACAAGATAAATAAATAGGATTATTGAAGGTTCATGTCCCTTGGGAATGAAGGTATAAGTCACCCCAGTAGTTAAAAAAAAACTTGCCCAGCTGAGATGCGGCCGAGGGCAAGAAATTCTCGGCAAGGACTGTGCAGGAGGGAGCACGTAGCGGCTCTCCGTGGCCCCCCACCCCCACTGCCTGTTAAGCATGTATGTTTGTATCTCCTCGTCCTCTTTATCATTTTCAGGAAGTGTCGTTGGAAGCGACTTTGCAATTTAGTTTCAGGGAGAAGGATATTCAGACGGAAGGAGACCCGAATCAGAAAGGTCTGTTGGACTTTGCATCTCCTCCAGCCGGGTAGAGGCCAGACTGTTTCACTCTAGTATGAAAAAGAGTGGCATCTTCTTAGGCAGACATGCAGAGCTAGGTTTTAAGGTTTTGCTTCTGTTGTATGGAGTTCCAATATGCATAGAAATGTGTGTAGGGCAGCGGAATGAATGAAGGGCGGGACTGGGCCCATTCTGTAGTTTTGGCCTGTCACCCACGGCCTTTATGTTAAACAGGATCCAGATATCCTTTACGCTCTGCTTTGTGATGCTCCGACCAGGACTTTGCGAACCTCATTTGTCCCTTTGCCAGAGTCTTCCTGGTAGGCTCTGGGAGACAGACTGGGAACTGGAGAGGGAGGCCAAACTTGCTCATTCCTCTCTGCTTCCTGCGTGCTTCCTGACAGTGTGCACGCCCCCAGCAAAGATTTTTCACTTTTTTTTTTTTTCCCCCTGAAGCAGCTGCTGAATCCAGTCTGTGTTTTTCCCAACAAGCACAAAATCCACTTTATCATGTTGCCGCCACCCAGAGGCAGCATCTGGCTGGTGTCCCTTCCCTGGGGTCTGGGCCCCCCGCTACTGGGGCACTCAGAGACACCAGCTCAAGCTGCTGGTTCCCCCTCCTCAAAAGTCTGAGTTTCAGCTCCATGCTGTCCCTCCTCTGAGTTCGTAAATTCTTGTAGAGTCTCCATAATATTACTTTCAGTAATAGGACCCTCCTTTGCTCCTTTAGGTTTTGAGGTGGTAGTTGCTTCCTGCTGTTGCTACTTCTGAGATACTTTAGGCATTTTTATTTTATCTTGACAGTTACCTTGTTAATAACTCTGTGCCTTGGAACAACCTCTTCCATTAACTTCTTTCTGGTTAACTCATTGGTGGGATTTCTGTCTTGGAACTGGACCCTACGTCCCTTATTAATGACATATAGATTGCAAATTTCCTCTCATCTCTGTGATTTTCCTTTTCACCTATTTTTTTTTAATTCCAGTGAGCTAACATTTTTTTCCACTTTTAAAATAAGCTTTTTAATTTAGGGAAGTTTTAGATTCACAGAGCAATTGCAAAGACAGTTCAGAGTCTCCCTATACCCTGTGTATATGCCGTATTTGTGTTTATTTCCTAGTGTATGCCTTTAGATCTCTGTTTCCCTCCAGGCATGATTTTAACTGCATCCCACAAGATCTGGGCATCTTGTATTTTCATCCTCATTCCATTAAAATACTTTACAGTTTGTATTGTGAGTTCCTCTTTGACCCACGTGAAATTTAGAAATGTTTCTTTTTTTTTTTAAAGATTTTATTTATTATTTATTTGAGAGAGAGAGAGAAACAGCATGAGAGGGGAGAAGGTCAGAGGGAGAAGCAGGCTCCCCACCGAGCCGGGAGCCCGACGTGGGATTCGATCCCAGGACTCTGGGATCATGACCTGAGCCGAAGGCAGTCGCTTAACCAACTGAGCCACCCAGGCGCCCTGGAAATGTTTCTTAATCATGAAAAACATATGCTTTCTTCTAGTTATCTTTTCATTGTTGTTTTATGGACCATTCTTCCCGTGGCCTTGTTTATGTATGACTTGAACACTGAACTGTGTTGAAACTGACTTACGGCTGGCACATGGTCTGTTTCCTGAATGTTCTGCACCCCCGTGCAGGATGCGCATTGGCGGTGTGGGTGTAAGAAGTGCCTTCCCGGGGCAGGTTTGGGAGCGGGGCGGGGGGGGGGGGGGACGCCCTTTTTGACCACTTTCTTCATCAATGCTGCGGAAACCGTGAAATACACCCGGTAAGGGAGAGAGCAGATGCCACATGATGAGGGTATTATTGGTATGCCTGCAGGGGGTGCGGAATTCTCAGGGACGGCATGGGGACAGGGGAGTTCAAGACATAATTTTGAGAAAGCCCTAAGGGGACAAACTTGAATTATTTCTTTTTTATTTAAGTTTTAGTTAACATTACAGTGCAATATTGGTTTCAGGAGTAGACTTCAGTGATTCATCATTTACATACAACACCCAGTGCTCATCACAAGTGCCCTCCTTAATACCCATCCCCCACAATTATTTTTTAAAAATGTATAGATTATTAGAAGTAAGGATGCGGATAGCAAAACCTACAGCATTGGCAAAAGTACCCGAGCTGCAATACAAAACCACTGTCAATAAAATGCCCAGACCAACAGTGACGGTGGCAGGACAGGGACACAGTCGCTCCCGCCCGTTGGATCGTTTTGCTGGCCTGCCCAGACTCGGCGCTCGGCTGGGCATGCCTGCGGGGTTGTCATGGAAACGCGACCGCAGGCCAGCCGGCTCCGCCCCCGCCCCGGAGCGCCCCGCCCCGCGCCCCGCCCGGCCGTCCGCGCGTCGCCGAGGCCCCTTCGAGGCCCCTCCGCGCGGGTGACTGGGGCTCCGGCCAGCGCGGGGAGGCGGGAGGTGATGGGGGGCGGGAGGCCATGGGAGGGCGGGCGGCGGTGGGGGGAGCGCGCCTGGCGATGGGGGCCGCCGGTGACTGGGGCGGGAGGCGATGGGGAGAAGATGGTGATGGGGGGGCGCGGGTGACTGGGGCGGGAGGCGATGGGGGGCGCAGGTGGGCCATGGGAGACCTGGACAGGGTGACAGGGAGACCCTTGGCGCGAGGTAGGGATACGTGGAGGACCCAGGATGCTGGGGAGGCAACCAGAGGGGCCATGAAGGGCTCCCGGGCGCCCGCGCGAGTTGGGGAGAACCTGCGGCAGCCAGCAACGAGGGCGGGGCTGGGTGAGCAGGGCACGGGCCATGGAGAAGGAAAACCTTGCACGGATGGAAAAGCGTCTTGAGGGGGGCGCGGTTAGTGGATGCTTCCCTGTTTGCTTTCCACCTGACATTTTTCTGTCCAGCCCAGGGGCCCCCCAGCTGCCTGGAGCAGAAACAGGGCCCTGGTGGCTGGGTGAGTACCGACCTGCCTTCAGCAGAGGCAGCCTGAGCAAACCCCTCTCGGGTCGGGTGCTTGCCGGACCAGTCCCGAAACCTGTGCCCGCTCGGGTTCTCAGGACTTCATTTCCCAGATCTAGGCACTGGCGCTCCCACGGGCGGCCTACCCAGTGTCCCCGTTAGTTCATAAAGGCACTAGGAGGAGTCACAGGTCTGCCACTTAAACGCAGCCCCATGGTCTGGGTCACCCGACGGCAACTGAAATGGTGACATGCACCAGTAGCTTGGTGGAGGCTCTGACCCCAGAAGAGCTGAGATCGTGTGCCGTAGAGCCTCCCCTTGCCGCTGGGCTGTCTCCCTGCCCCTGACAGCACGTTCATTTCCTTGTAGTGTCCGCCTGGGCGAGAGCTGAGGACACAGGACTGCCTCCACCAGAGAGGCCCCGCGGCACTGGAAGCTGACCCAAGCACGCAGCAGCGGAGGGCAGTTGCGGGGACGGAGCTGTACGGTGTCCTCTCCTGCAGGGCACCATCGTTTCAAGTTAAGTAGGTCGCGCCGTGGTGTCGGAGTCGCAGTGGACGCCCGGCCAGGCCTCGGCCGCTGGGAGCCTCGTCCCCGGCGGCTGGACGTCTGATAAAGCGCGGTCCAGGGCGCCCCCGTGCAGCTCTCGCCGGTTCTTAGGGGTCTTGCCGGCGCCCCCGAGGCTCCTCTCAGGTTCCCTCGCAGTGCATCCCTCCCGAGGGCGCTGCCTACGCGAGGCCTGCATTCGTGCTTTCTACCACTGACCCAAGGAGCCGTCAGAGCCGAGGGCGAGCGAGGCGGTTGATGAGTGCCCGAGGCGCAGAGCAGCGGGCGGCCGTGCGCGCCCAGGACCGGCTCCGAGGGGCCCGGCGCGCGGGCGCCCCGGGGCGGGGAGCTGCGGGCCGGGGATGAGCGGCCGCGTGCCGCTGGCGGAGAAGGCTCTGTCGGAGAGCTACGCCCGCCTCCGGTACCGGGACGCCTCCCTGCTCATCTGGCGGCAGCAGCAGCGGCGGCTGGAGTCGGCGCCCCCGCGGACCTACCTGAGCCGGAGCCGCAGCATGTGGTACTCGCAGTACGGAAACGAGGCCATCCTGGTCCGGGACAGACACAAGCTCGGAGTGTCCCGGGACACGGGCCGGTCCAAGGTCTGTGCAATCATGTAGCCCCGGCGGGACACCCGCGCCCGGGCGCTGAGCTGTGCGGAGACCAGGCCCCGCTGCCCTCCCTGAGGGGCCTCGGCGGCTTCCAGGCCTCACGGGGAGACGCTGGAGAGTGAAGCCCCGGCTGTGCTCCAGGAGCCCACGAATGCCGGCGGGGGCTCCCAAGCCGTCTCCGCGCGTGGCGCGGCCGGCGGACCGGCTCCGGGCTCGCTTCCAGCCGGCGCGCCGCTACACACGCGGCTTGACCCTTAGGTCTCCAAGCCGACCACCCGCTCAGAACTTTCCGGGTCGCTTCCAGCATTCCCTTCTGCCTGGTCAAGAACGGGACAGATCTAGAAAAAGTGACGGAGCTCGCGGCAGGCACGGCCGAGCACCGCGTGCGGGGCCAGGCGGGGTCAGCGGCCGGCAGCAGCCCCGCGGCGGGGCCTTCGGCGACGAGGAACGGGCGTCGTGTGCCGTGCGCGGCGGTAGCGTCTGCGCCGACTTCCACGTACTCGCGGGCGAGCACGCGAGGGCATCCACACACATTCCGGAAACCAAGAGTCACCCTTAAGTTCCACGTCCGCTGCTGACGGAGATTTCGGACGGAATCTCAGCGCTGCAAAGGGCAGGCTGGGCCTCTGCGGGGAGGCGGCCGCGCGTCAGCCCTGCGGCGCCCCCCGTGTGGGCACGTTTTGCGAGGCATTTGCAAAGGATGTGCGGTCCGCTGGAACGGGTCTGCGTGGCTTTGCAACTGTGGGGGTTATCTTTTGTCAGAGCTGATTTTTCTAAATAAATATGCTTTGGGACACTCCTTCCTTCCTCACTCTTTTACCTGTCTGTTCAGAATACGTTAACTTGACTTCAGGTTTGTTTTTTTCAATAACAGGCGAATCTCATGATTGCTACAAACCCCATTACAGAAATGCATAAAGCACAGCAAAAGTGTCCTCCGCAGACAACCACGAGCAGCGGCTCTGCGTGTGCAATTGTGCACGGTTCTTAAGGCACGGCCCGCACTGCGCATCTTGTCCTGGGGGTTTCCTCTTGCCCGGCTGTCCACACGGACATCTACATCATGCTTTGAAATGTCTGACGGGCAGCACTCCCGTGAGCCCACAGGAGGGCAGAGATACTTCCCGTTGCTGCCCTGCACGCAGCATGTCGTGAGCCTCGTCGGACGTGGATCTTTCTGTGGGTGTGCAAGTTCATTAAGCAAGGATCCCGGAAGTGGAACTGCTGGGTCAGAGCACGTTCCCCAAATGTCAAATGTCCAGCCAGAAGCCTGGGCCTTAGTGATGGATCCTCGGCTTGCCTGCTGTGTGGGTCGGGAGGCTTAAAGTCACGTTTCCTGAATCTCCTCCCGGAGTTGAAGAGGGAAGCTGGCCCCATCTACACCAAGTAAGACCTGCCGTAGGGGCCTGCTTGTCCAGCAGCCCTGACACTGGGATTACCCGGTAGATCGTTTGCTCAACATCTTTGCAGTTCAATCTAGGTCCTGCTTGGGAAGAAAGCAAACTGCAGAGATGTCTGGAATGCCTGTGCCGCATGTTGATGCACGCCTCAGAATAACCTGAGAACAGGTGGCAGTTAGTCTGACCCCAGGCATGGAAAGCACCTGGGAAGACGAGCACCGGCCACGGCCGAGGTCTGCACAGGTCAGGATGTGCAGGTGACCGACATGCACTGGCCGCCCATAGGACAGCAGGCGCTAAGCTGCTCAGAGCCCAGGAAGCCACCATCTGCCGAAGGGAAGCCCAGGCAGCTGGTTTCCCCGGCCGGGGCTGGAGCCACCGAAGTGGGACACGGCCCAGTCCCCGTCCTTGGGGAGGTCAGCCTGAGAAGGGGGGGGTAAGAGTCTGGACAAGGATGGCACGTGCTGAGGGGATGCTGGAAGGGTGCCTGCTGACAGCCAGGGGGCGGGGGCTGGGGGGGGGAGGGTGCCATCGAGAACCTCTCCCCAGGACGACTCTGCAAGGCCAGGCGCTAACAGCCAGGACTGCTCAGAAAACGGTGTCAGAGGCGCCCGTCTGCCACGCATGGCTCGCAGAAGCCTCTCCTCCATGCCGGGCTCTGCGCTGAGTGCTGGAAGACTTCGGCAGACGGGCGACTGTGCCAGCAGGACAGCATCTGCTGCCTGTCGTCTGGGAACCCGCCCCGGGACCCGCCCCAGCGCGGCCGGAGCGCAGGGAGGCATCTGCCCAGACAGGAGGAAGAACGAGCGAGGACCGCAGTGTGACCGAGATTGTGCTTCTATGTAGAGGGCCGCTTGTTCTAGAGAACACTTAGCGGAAGAGAAAGCCTACACTCATGTCCCCCAAATCCAGGTGCCCTCCTGCCCAGGCTGAGGACCAGGGCTACTTTGACGGCCGAGCGTTCCAGGGTGTAAGCTTCAGAGCATCTCCACACGCGCACCCGCGGGGCTGGGAGCCACCAGAAAGCACAGGCAAAGGCACATACAGGCACCTTTTTTTTTTTTTTTTTTGGTTTTATTATGAAAACAAAACAAATGCCCCAGGAGAAGGGTCCATGATTACCAGAAACATCAAAGAGTACTTTCTACCATTTTTATTCTGTTGTGTTGAGGCCAGCATTGCAATAAACAAGCTAAAACTACTTACATTGGACTCATTTTCAGTAACTGACATTTACAGGAATATACTAGAAACGGCACTAAAAAGTTTAAGAAAAGTTACGGTAAACTTGCATGCACATCATACAGAAAAGTAACAATTTAAATATAAAAAAGAAAAACTTCTGGAAGCGTGATGCCAGTATTGAGAAACAGGCTACACTGGGGGGAACGCATCCTTTCTCTGGGTGGTGTTTTCCCCAGAGGGCTGTCACAGATGTGGATGTTGCATAAGAACAAAAAGAGAAACGAAAAGAAAACGTATCTTACAGTTTGTAAGCAAGGTGACGCCGCCCAGCATGAGCACGGGTCTCTGCCCCCTGGGCGTCCGGGGCTCCCGTGAGGCCAACGTCTGAACCACATGGTTCCCTCCCCCTCGAGAAGAGGCTGTGAAATCTGCCCTCGGGTTCTCCGTGACACAAACAGCCCTGCCTGTCCAGCTGCAGTCTCCCCAACACAGGGAGACGTGGAGATGGCAAACACCCACAGGCTGACCTCGAGGGGGCTGAGGACGTTCCCCCAAACTCAGAAGAGAAATCGGCTTTGAAGTCTGCACAGAAAGCCTTAAGAAACCACAGCACCATCGAACTACACTGCTCAGGATGGACGGCAGCCCTCTGCGCCATGGCGGCCTCCTCCTGGGGGGCAGGGGAAAGGGACAGAGGTGTTCCAGAACCCATGTCTCCCGCAGAGCCAGCAGACAGTGAAGTGCTCTGAAATGCTTGCACTGTGCCGGGCTCGAGGACCACACGCTCCCCCACCCGATGGCTCACACAGGTGACCGCCCCCCACCATGCCCGCAGCTGGACAGGTGCTCCACAGGAGCCCCCCACGTGCCCCCCAGCACCCTCTGCTCGGGGAGGCGCGCTTGCTGCATGTGGCCAGAGAGATCCCGCGTTAAGACCATCCATCGTGTCATGTATTAAAGTCCTAGTTTAAATATTCCGTTACAGATCTGCTTAGAAAACACCTTTGAAACACAAGGGTAACTCTAAAAAATGGCAAGTTGAAAAATCCACATATATTTTTATTATAAACAAAACTTAATGAAAAGTTTAACAAACTGGCTCAAAACTCACCAAGCGTCAGAATCACCAGCAGTAAGAAACCTGGTAACCCACCACCCACCGCCTCACCAGTGCCGCGTCCAGCAAGGGCATCCGTGACCGTTAAGGGCCGGTGGAACCTGAATCCATTTTAGGATTTGTAAAGACTGCCCCCCTACTCGGATTCTGATGACCAGTCCCCCTGTCCGCCTGGAAACTCGCCACCAGACCCAAGGCAGGGCACCCGCAGCTCCGCCCCCAGCACCCACCTCCTAGGGAGGTCTGGGAGAATGCCCTATCTCAGTCATTTCTGTGCTAGCGGGGAAAATGCTCCAGCAGGGAGCCCGGTGTGGTCTTTGAGGAGCGAACCCTCCTGCGGCGGGAGGCTCCTCCCACCCCATGGCCCCAGGGCCCCTGCCCTCGGGGCTGGGAGGTGAGGGGCGCCCCAGGGGGGGGGCCTGGACGGCCGGCCCCTGGCACTCGAGGCCGAAGCCACAATGCTCCGAGCTCAGGCGGGCAGTGTGGGGCGTCCCTGCACTCAAAGGCCGCGGGGCAGCCTCTGGAAAAAACAAAACCAAAACATAACCTTCTGTTAAACTCTGTATATTATTATTATTATTTTTTTACAATAGAAAGTTAAAAATCAAGACTTAGATTTACTATACATTTTTTTCTCTCAGATTACAAAGTTTATATTATATAACTGGGGTTCCCTAAATTGATTTCTTTTAAAACAGTCCTAAAGAGACCAGAAGTGAGTACAAAAGAACTCAACACACAAAACGAAGACTGAAAATGTGCTGCAGCTGGATAGTTGTCTACGCCTGTACGTCCCCACCCCCCCACGCGCACACGGAGAACAGACCCCGAGCCCCGCAGGGGGTGGGGCCGGGGCAGGGCGAGCGTGCAGACAGGATTGAGCACCGGCACACGTGGCGGGACGCCAGCACCTGGAGGCCACAGTCCGCCATCCGAGCAGGGGCTGGGGCTCTCCTTCGAACCACTTTTAAAAGGCCTGCATGTCTGCTATTTTTTTTTTTTTAATGCATTTCTTTTGCAGTTTTGTTTTTCTTTTAAAAAAAAAATGACCAATGATGTTAATAAATAAAGTGTTCATATATACACGAAACTGGGAAAAGAGCTCCAGAGTGTGCGGCAGCGGCAGCTCACGAGTCGGGGACACACATTGGGCTGGACTTTCGTAGAAAATTGCTGAACCTTACAAAAAAGTCTCCTTTTGTTTTTTGTTTTTTTTAATCTTTTCTTTTTTTTTTCTTTTTTTTTTTTTTTAAGTTGAGGTAAAAGTTTCAGTGTATGGAAAGCTGCGCGCGGTACGCGCGGCCCCCGTGTTCCCTCCTGGGAGCTCCCGGCGCCCCTCCCTCCGCGCCCACCCACCTCTCCCCCACCCTCCCTTGCAGAAGCCCGGACTGGAGCCTGTGGCCGCACTGAACCCCCCAGCGGCCCCCCCGCAGCAAGAGGTGACCCCGGCCGGCCGCGGGGCTGAGCTCGGGGTCGAAGGACAGAGACAACGCCTGTTGGCAAAGCTGACAGCCTTCAGTACAGTACCATCTCAGAGAAACTTCCTTTCCAACAATTCTTTCTGGA